ACAACTACAATGCAGTACGAATCAATACGAGCATTTCTGCGCTTGACCCAGAAAAAGGATTTTGTCCTTTCTGTTCCTGGGCCATTTTGCTCAACGAAACGGGCTCAGGTGGGGAGATGCACTGGAAGGAACAGGATTGCTGTGACAGCGAATTGATTTGTGCACGGAAGACGGGTACCTGCGAGCCGGCCCTTTTGTCCGAGTGCTTTGGGCACTTCGAGTGTGAGGCCAGTTCAGAGACGCTTGGAATCAGATAGCGTCTCTGAAGCTCTTCGGAGTTTCAATCTTTCGATTGCCTGAAAAAACTGGATGATTTTTGATGATTTACCAAAGCGATTGTTTGTTTCACTGAGAAAGTGTGGTCGGACTCGGGTTCTTACGGTAAGAGTGAGTTGAGGGTGCTCACCGGCATCAGTGTTTGCCGCCACAGCAGAGTCATGCCTCCAGAGAAATCGAAATGCCTTTCGACTGTGCAGGCCAGCATTGTTTCCTCGACTGCGCTTTTGTTGTGGTGTATATAGTGCACATTTTCAGACTTGGTGGTCACTGTTCGTGGCAGGCATGGTCCTCGCCCAAGCCAGGGGTCTTCTGCAAACCAGCCTGGCAAACAACGGAAAGCGAAATCTGTGATCCCTTTTTCTGGCGGGCAGTGAGTCAATCGCGTCGTCGACCTTCGCTGCACCTGGCAACAGCCATGAGTGCACAGTACTCATGCGTGTGCATGTTGCGCAGGTGCGTGTATATGACTGCACGTGTCTTCTATTGGTATGTTTATGTTGACATGTGTTCTGCTGTTAAGGTAGTCCTGCAGGGTGCATTGAGAATTGAAGGTGCCACGATGGAAAAAGTAAGGGCAAACAAGTTACCTCTGTGGGTCCCGTGCCCGGCCTGGCTTGGGACCTACAGAGGTGTCGTACCTGCGTTTCTCGACTCAAAAGCACATCAAGGATTTGGAAACCTGGCCCTAGACAGGTGCGGCAAGCCTAAGTTTGTCCTTGAACTTTGGGGTGCTTTTGATTGCTTGAGTGGTCAAGCCTGATGATGAGATCAATGATCCTTTTCACACCGGGATGCCACACAGATCTGCATAGCTTGTGTGCAGACTTTGAAATTAAGCATCTATCGTTTACATCGTTTTTGCCAGGCCCCTGTTTGGACACATGACGGAGCATGTTTTTTGGGAGGTCGACCAGCCTTTAACCTGTCCTGCGGTTTTTGAAGAGTTAGGCGTCCATCCAAACCGTCTACTCGACTCCACTTATTAGCACTCAATGCCATGTAGATACGAAAGAAGGCAGGCCCGACCCGACCAACAAGGATCACAGAGCGCGCTGAAAATAGAAACCGCGTCGTAAAACTTTTGCGCGCGCCAACTCCAAACTTGTTTCAATAACTGATCCACATAGGAATAGGGCAGAGTATTATCTACAGTTATCTACTGTAACATGTTCCCCACTTGGGGCATAGGCCAGGTTTGATCTCACATGTGTGCTTTCACGTGTGTGCTCTTTGATACCTGTGCTCTAAATCTCTAAACATGATCTCTCATGTGTGTGCTATAAAGTGCGAAGTTTGCTTACTCACCCTTGTCGTGTTCTATTATATTCTATTTATATAGCACTTTTTGGGGTCCTTTGCCTACTTTGGTATGGTTCAAGTTGTTACTCTGCGGATTTGGCTTAGTTAGACGAGGCCCTGAGGCTCAATAAGATGTGTATTGTGCACGCTTCATCCCTGTATCAGTTTGGACATCCCCGTGAGGTAGTTACTGATTTCATTCGACCTTGACTCGCAGGAACGGCAAGGTGGAGGGGCAGCTCACTTGTATTGTGTTCAACAAAACGCATTAGCGCTTTACGGGTGAATTAAACTGGGGAGGTGGCCACCAGCTGCGTCTTATTATGCGCCCAGGTGCACCACTGCAGGTACGTTTTCCTGATCGTCCAGTGTAGAACTTTGTTGGCAGAGGCTACGACTGGGAGATCCTTCTGCCCCCTTCTAAGAGAAAGTCGAATTAGTGTGCGCGATCTGAATGAATGTGGTCAAACCTTCGAGACAGGTATTGACACACACACACACACACTTCGTACGAATCAAGAATGGGGCCTTTGGGTACAGACAGAAAGCAAAGAAGCCGCTGTTCATTGAATTCGTTTGTGGGAATTAGACGCGCTGTGTGGTTTCAGCGAACCTACACCGTCAAACAAAACGAGTTGCGCGGAAGTGCAAATCCGGTGTTCCATATGTTGCTTGTGTGAAAGAATGTTCCATTTTTTGATTGACATGTTGTGCGTTCAACAATTATTGGTGGACATAGGGTAACCTTGTTCATCAGATCTGCAGACAGTTTGTGGGGACACGCCCCATCGTAAACAACAAGTGTTTGCCTCGAACAAGGGGGTGTTCCATGTTTCATGTTTGTTTTTTCATGTTTCGACGCAATTGGAACGGTTTCAATACCGTAGCTCCAAAAAATGCGCCATACTTATGATACTTATGTGCATCGCTACTAGTAGCAAGGCACATTACTTGCAGTAACAAGAAACTACTAGTAGTTCCTGGCAGTACTACTAGTACAAAAGCATTGGATGTTTGCGGGTTTGTTGATGCTTCGTTCGGCTCCCAGGAACTATGGCCGAGAGATGGCGTGCAGTCGGTCCAAGGCGGATGATGTTGGGCGTGAACATGTTTGGGGACACAAGGACAGGGTCGGGATCTCAGTTTTGTCTCCAACTTTTTCCCGGCTGTAGGATGATTACTATTGTGCCTCACCTACTCACTAAACTCACTAGTGATTTTGGACACTTGACTGCCGAGAGAAGCTGAGAGAAGCTGTGATTTTGGACACTTGATTGGACCTTGGACGGACTATGTTGGAGTCGTTTTTATGTTTTCGGTCGGTTGATCCTTCTTTTTGCCCTGATCAAGTGATCAAATCTTGCATCGGCAAAAACAAAACTGTACTTAAATGGGTGAATCACCCAAATCTGTGGTCCATTCCTAAAACGTGTTTCGTTAAACACTCTCGTATCATGAACGTTTGTATTTATTGGATCCTTATCACTAAATACTATATTACAATATTATATATATATATATATATGGCCCTTCATCCTTGGCCGCTCTGCCGAACAACTTAGGTTTGCTGTGTTCAAGGTATCAGCTCCAAGGGAATTCGTGAGAAGAGCCCCGCCGAGATCTTGAGACACTATTCTGTGGAGGAAATGGACCTTTCGTCCTTGCATTGCTGTTCCATGAACCCAGTCGAGTACACACTCTCGAACGGCACCGTGATCGATTACTGCGCGACCTATGAAGAGGCCTATCGTCGGAATCGTCCACCAAGTGGAACTTCATAGAACTGGATGCCGCCCAAACCACTCCGAGCGGAACCACGAGCGGAGCGGAGAAGAAAGCGAAGTGTGCAGGGGAATCACTGGGGAGGGGGCGACGCAGGGCCTCAGGGGCGGGGACGTTTTTGGGGGCCCGGGAACAGCAATGGCCCAAGTTCTACACCGGCCTTGGTTGAACATGATCTAACATCAACAAGACCGGTCTGATGTTCAAAAAGCACACCCTGCGGGTCAAAAACACAAGGCATTTCCATCAGCCAAAAGAATTCACCTCCAGACTGGACGCTTAGTGGATCAAGTGTCGGCCTTAAGCCGCATGAAGACAGGCCACCATCACAGCTCCTGTTGTCACCGGTTGTCACTTTCCAAATCATCCCAGTGTGGTGGTGCGAATGCGTCACAGTAAATCTGTCTTCTAAGGATTTGCAAAAGCTGCAATCAGAGCTCCAGAAATCTCAAGAACTTCATCACTGCAAGTGCTCCAGCAGTCGAGAATTGGCTGAGCTCACCCAACGAGTCTTGGGTGAAGGCGAGGCCAAATCATCGCGCCGGATAGGGCAGGGGACCCGACCGTCACCACCCCCACTACATTTTTTCTTGGGACTTGGGACAGACAGGGGCAAAGAGAGGTGCAAGTTGCGAGACGCTAGCCCGAGTCGAACACTCAAATATGCGCAGGTTCAGGAACCCAAAACTTCATTGCCAGAGCCACCTTGGCAACCTTAGTGCAAACTATGTCAGTACTGGAACCTTCATCAGAATCAGAAGGTTGCAGACATGCCAGCAAGATGATACAGTATAGTTTAACATGTGATCAATTAAGATGAACTTTCACAACGGGAGAAGCGGGAGGAGGGGGAGCTGGTTTTCATTGAGGCTTTTGTGATTGTGTTGCACCAGGCCTTGATGAGAAGCATACAAGCGAAAACTGCGTACCTGGTGTGCCTCAGCAAATTCTTTTGCGCCTCAGAGCAACAGGTGAGTATGAGTGGGACATTTGAAGTTCACTTATTGTCCATGTTGCAAGATGCTAGGGTTAAGAAGGAATTGCTCATGGGTTGCCTTTGCCTTTGCCTCATTTTGGCGACCATCCTAATGTTCATGTGATTCACGTGTATCAACGCAACATGGGCAGGAGCTTGTTCTGGAATCAGAGGGGTTTGCTTCCTGCGGTCCAGTGTGTGATTCACCAGAATGAAGTGACTCCTTGCGCTTCAAAGAAACGTGGAGACTCGAAACGGTGGCAACTGCAATGCAGACATCTGATGCATACCCTGGTCGCACCCAACATGGGGTGAACCATGGTGAAACCGATGACGCGCATTGACAGGTAGAGTTCTTTTGCATTGACACTTGGGTTTGTATTCTAATAGGGGACCTCCCAACCAATGGAGTTAACCTGTTTTTGATTTTCCCAGTTCTTTGAGGGGTCTCCCTATTCCAATACACCCCCTTTTGGGAATTTGCACCAGAAGTCTTTGGATCATTTTGCATTGCGAGCTTATCGCGGCCCGCTATTTCTCGATCAGCCGGCCGGCCGGCCGGCCAAGAACCACGGTCCAGCTGGCCGGCCGGCCGGCCGGCCAAGATCCACGGTCCCGCCGGCCGGCTGATCAACGACCGTCGGCTGCTACTACTACTACTACTACTACTACCACTACCACTACCACTACTACTACTACTACTACTAGTACATGGCCGGCCGGCCGGCCGCTCCAGGTGCTAGCCGGCCGGCCGGCCGATCAATGTGCCAGCCGGCCGGCCGGCCGGCCGTGGAAGAAATCGCTACTACTACTGCTACTACTACTACTACGACGACGACGACTACTACTACTACTGGAACTACTACTACTACTACTACTACTACTACTAGACTACGACTACGACTACAACTACTACTACGACGACTACTACTACTACTTGCGAAAGCGACGTGTCGGCTCGAGAACACCGCTTGACTTTTCGCCACACAGTCGAGGCTGTCAGGCTTCGTGCGCTTTGCACCTTGAGCCAAAAACCAAAAGGCGGGCTCTTTCAGCCTAGCCTCAACCTACCTAACACCAGGAAGAGCAGGCGCCTAGGAGAACTCCTGTTTCACATTCGCCCTCCTGCCTGCTTTTCCCACCATCACGTCCCGCGTCACTCGGACCGCTGGGATTCCTGCCACTCGGGCGCCTTCAGTTCCTGGCCGCTCCGAGGCTCTTTTCTGCGTACGCGTCTGATGCTACTGCTGCCTGGAAATCGCAAGCGAACTGCTTCACGTTACTGACCCATTCTTGGAATCCTATGGCTAGCGGATCTTCCTGACCTAATGTCAAATGAAGTCCAATCTCATGGTTTCCCCGGCTAGCAGTGGTCCAGTTCATGGAGCCGATAATGAGCTCCAGTTGGTCACCTTTCTTGACCATTAGGGTCTTTCCATGCAATGCTCCACAGAAGTTGTAACGCGTACGCCCTGCTGCCGCATAGTGCGGTCCCAGGCTTTCCCCATTTGCAATGAAGATCTTCAAGCCTTGGGACCTTGCCTGGTGCACCAACCTTTTCTGCTCTGTGGTTCGTCCGGTCTGCGACTTATCAACATACACCTCGACGTCGCATCCTCTATCTTGCGCTACTTTTAGCGCTCCGAACAACTCCGGCCGGTCGATGGCGTACGCCGTGAGCCGAACCATGACTTCCTTCTTGGCGCTCTCGGCTTCCAGTCCCGTCGTCCGCACTCAGCAGCTCTTCCTCCTCCTGACTGTCGCTACTTCCTTCACTTGCTTCTCCTGGGTCTTCCTCATGGAGCGCGCGCGTGACCTCGCGCCACAGCTCCGCTTCTTCACCGTTTGTAGTGGTACCTGAGGTATCCCCACGGCGACGCGAAGGCCTTTGTCCTTCCGCTGCCCGCCAAGCAAGCCACTCCCTGTACCGCAACCTTTCAGGCCGCGGCACCACACCTGCCTCGATAGCTTCTAGCAAGGTCCCTTCGTATCCTCGGACTTGCTTTGCCATCTCAGCAATGAGCCTGAGGCCTCGACTGCTTATCCTGGGGTCTTTGACACCGATTTCCCAGAACAGCCCCCAACTGCGAAAGCGACGTGTCGGCTCGAGAACACCGCTTGACTTTTCGCCACACAGTCGAGGCTGTCAGGCTTCGTGCGCTTTGCACCTTGAGCCAAAAACCAAAAGGCGGGCTCTTTCAGCCTAGCCTCAACCTACCTAACACCAGGAAGAGCAGGCACCTAGGAGAACTCCTGTTTCACATACTACTACTACTACTACTACTACTAGTCTACTACTACTAGTCTACTACTATTACTACTACTACTACTACTACTTGGCCGGCCGGCCGGCCGGCCGCTATTTGGCCAGCCGGCCGGCCGGCTGGTCGCGGTGTAGCAGGCCGGGTTGCCCGCGCTGTCTCATTTTGACTCCTCGTTCCGCACCGGACGAGATGTTCTGCCGCATGTTCATGAAGTCGGTGTCTCCAACGCGGTTCGTTTGGTGTAGTTCCTCCATGCAGGTGACACCGGTGAATGTCTGGGGACGAAGATGAATGAACCACAATGAACCCATAATGAACCACAAAAGCTCCATTTCCACCCTGAGAACCCAGACCCCCAACAGCTGGTAGTGGTCACAGGTGCAAAGACGCGCTCCACCAGCGTTTTGGCGTGGTGTGTGCCACTTTGCCTGGCCACGGCTGTTTCGTGGTGATGGCGCTGGAAGATGGACCAGCGCCGAAGCTAAAGGGAAGGTGTTGGGAAGCTGGGTATGTGTTTGTTAAGGTTGAAATACCGGCAAGAACATGCTTGTTGGGTGACCTCATGGGTCATAAGATGATATTTGAAACCTGTGGGGCATGTCTGTTGTCACGGGAGGGGAAGGTACAATCATGTACAATATAGTTATAGAGGGGTTGGAAGGACAGTCAGAGACAGCCTCCTGTGTCACGCCAACGGTGGAGAAGCTTCTTGTTTGGGGTTCCCAACGTTGGGAACAGCGGAGAGTCGATCAGTGCTGTGCTTGTTGCTGCAGCACAACCTGCTGCTGGTTGAAAGACACCAGGTACAACATTGGAATGACCTATGTGCAAATGCTCATGAACCCTGGAAACGGCTTCACATTGGAGGCACCATTTTGTCCGTGAATGGCATCACTGGGGATACCAAGCGTATGCAGCAAGAAATGGAAAAAACCCAACAGGCTGAGCTTTTGATTTGTAACCCTCCCGGCATTTCCTCACTTCGTGCCGTGATGGCTGCATGTGAGGGGGCAGATCTGAAATTGCATCAGACCTTCTGGCAAGATGTGGAGGCGGCAGCAGCGATGCCCGCAGCGCGCACAACACTTGAGACATTAGCTGACTGTGACGTGCGAGAAGCGGAAATGATGCCACAAGTTGAATGCGCCAACATTTCAGTGGTTGTCACCACAAGCCCAGTTCGTTCCAATCCAAGCACCGATCTTCTGGAAAGGGTGCTGTTGAGTTTGCACCTCGTGGGCCTGGCGCATGTGCCGCGGATCATTGTGTGTGATGGCTACAAGATTTCTGCTGGCAAATCCAATCACAAGGCTGGAAAGATCAGCGTGGCGGAGGCCGAGCGATATTCCGAATACATCCAGAAGCTGCAAGAGCGTGCAACTGGAGCAGAATCAGTTCGATCTGCATATTTTCGCACGCAGATTCTGGTTCTGCCAGATCATCATGGCTTCGGCTTTGCGGTCAAGAGTGCGTTGGCCGAAGTGGACACCGACTATGCACCTTAGCTAAACACAGGGGGGTCGGGGCCCTTAAGGAATGGAAGAGATATGAAGAGATACAATAGTGTCATGACAACTATTCCACAATCCAACCAATCTGATCCAATCTGTACTGCTTTTCTATGTCACACTGATCGATCAGGACCATTCAGGACCTGCAACTCATCGGAACATCATCGCGTGTGTGGTTCCACGCGATGGGAGTCCGATCCGCGCACTCTGATCTGGACTGGCCACGGGTTTCTATCGGGGGGTGTCTCCCGGGACCATGACCGGAGCCAGGCAACGCATCAAGTAACAAGCCAGCCAGGCAATCCAAAAATCGAGCCAGGCAAGGCATCTCGATCTGACCGGATCGCCACAGCGTCGGCGGAACGAGCCAGGTACTGGTTGTCCAGCATGACCAAGAGTTCATCGCCACCGTGGACTTCCCCCAAGTACTTCGCACGATGTCTAAGCACCCGGAGATCAAGTATATCGGATTGAGTAGCTCCCTTTCTGCAACAAGTGGATCTTATATTATGTTATTGGATCTTTATTTATGGACACTGGAAACGGACCGGAAAGCAATCGAGAACTTCCAGACTTTCATTCCTAGAACAAGTCTGGCCTGTTGAAAGTCTGGGATTGATTTTTGTTACATTAATAGTCTTGATGTGTTAACTTGGGTTCTGAGTTTGCAGAGTTGCTGCGTTTTAGGTCAAAGTACCCCGTACATGCCAGCCAGTCGAAACACAGCAAAGCACCAAAATCGACTTTGATCAGCGTTTGTTTCTTGGTTGAATGTTCCTAAACATACCTCAAAGTCCTTTCTATTACTTTTATTGGCGTCCACCAACGTTGCTGCGTTTGTTGAATAATCTGGAACAACCGGTGACTGAGTCACTTCTCGAATCTGCATACTGCAGTAATCTGCAGTACACAGTTCGCACGGACTGTCACAGGTGATTCACCGATACCGGCACACTCCCCAGGTGTCTCTACTATGAACTATGAGCACATGGTTCGATCAAAGTTTGGCGTCAGCATCTCGCGCAGTGTGGAGTACGGAATTCCACTGTTGCAGCTCGACATAGCTCGACCGGAGATATGCATGCATACGAACGACTACCCTCTCACCAAACTGCTGTGTGAATCAAGAAGCTAGTTTTAGTGAGCCTAAGACACCACTGCTTTGGGCTTTTGGCCCTACGGGGCCCTACTATTCCCATGTAATTATATGTACTGTAACTACTTGGAAATGCAGGTCTGTTCATTTCTCCGTGGACTTTCGTGTTCAGCCAGTCTTTTTTCGTCCCAAGGCCCTTGATCTTTTTCTACGACAAGCCTCACATCTGCAGGACGGCGTATTATCGAGACATTCTTCTTGGACCAGGCGCGGTTCTTCGTCGTGTCGGTGGACCGGGGATCGCCTTGACCAGGCACCGTGTTCCGGTGTTTGGGTTCTTCAATCATTGGTGCTCCATTCAGTTTGGTTCATGGGTGCTGGTGATCCGAGCCGTGGAACCCGCGGTGCGCGCGAAACAGCGAGGCTCCTTGGTGCAGAAGGGGGACTTCATCGAGGAGACGGTGGGCATCGCACAACGGGAGGACATCATCCAACATGGTGACTTGGATCAACGGAAAGGTGAGATATGTGGTTGTCCTTTTTCTTGGGGAGTGATATATGGTGATAGGTCGGTTAGATGTTGGTGGGATATTGCTTGCTTGCTGGTTTGGCTTAGCTTTTGGCCTGGCTTTGCTTGCCTTGGTTAGATGATGTGACACATACGGTCAATACCACCCACTGTTTCGTTTTAGTGGTCAGCGGCGATGGGTGTGAGGAGCTCGAAAACAACATCTTGACGATTGGGCTATTTGCTTGCTAATCGGTGGTTGGTGCGGGAACAGCTACAGTAATTTAGACCGTTAGTTGAAAAAACACATGGATCTCAACTCAAAGTGGAAATCCTGGCAACCAACAGATTTCTCATAGCGTCACATTTCCTCCTGGGGCATGTGTTTGAGACGAAGCCTCTTGAGATGTTGAACAGTGATTTGCCAATCAGCCAATCTGGGTGATTTGGATGGAATCTTCTCGTGGCTTTTTCTGCGACCGGGTGCACAAGGGGCCTCGTCTGTACACGCGGAATTTCCCTCGAATGTACACGCGGAGAATTGATCTCGTTTCTGCACGCGAAACTCGGATGTGAACGCGGCTTCCTCGGCTGTACACGCGGCTTACACAGCTGAAAAAATGAATGAATGCATGCATGCATGCATGAATGAATGAATGAATGAATGAATGAATGAGTATTGAGGATCCCGGGTCGCACGCCCGGACTGAAGACGAAGAGCAAGCAAGGGAAAAGACTGGCGGGCTGGTGCTTCGCTGTTTGTAGTCTTGTTGGGAGCTGTCACGACATGCGCGCATGCAACTTTAGCTGACAAAACGATGTGAAATCTTTAGTTGACATGAAAGAATGAAGAACGCAGAGCGTCTGTGTGACGTGAACCTGTGGAAGCAATGAGCAAA